GTAGCGGTGAAAAACATTACCATTGAAATCTACCTGATGAATTTGTCTCCATGCTCAGGTGCCAAGGATCCAAGTGTAACCAACTGTGAGTAGTAGTAATCAGAGAAACAGATTAGAGATGCATGCGCCAACATCTCAGCGTTAGCAGCAAAAATGAGTCTTTCTGCAAGAAACAATATATTCTAAAATGAAATGGAGATTTTTTTTAAAGGTTAAAAAACTCATTCAATTTTATGTCTCACAGGGCTTATACTGAGTTCAATATTGTATAACTGTATTAATTCAACTGTGAACCTAGAAACTTGCACCCACTTGTGAAAGAGATGTACTCTTGCTCTGGAGTGTGTTACTGAATATATTAAAGCTGTAGTGAAATGCTTCTTCTAAGTATGTGGTTAATAAATAAATAATTAAAAAACAAACAAACACTGACTTCTCTTCCTGAGATCTGACTTTCAGCTCTCTAAAAAAATGAAAAAGATATAAAGACTTTCTCAAACAAAAATGAGGGATTTTGTTGTTGCCAGTAGACCTATCTTTCAAGATTGTGAAACGAAAAATCTTTGAGAAAGAAAATTATAAAATTTAATTATCAATCCCAGTTTATAACTTAGACTTACATAAAATAAGGGCATCAGAGAGGAATTAAAGGTTAAAAACATTTATATTCTTATTCTTAATAGATTTAACATGTAACAGTTAACTCAAAACAATAATACCAATCATGCTTTTCAATCAAGTGTACTTATGCATGTGTGTGCATGCTTATGTATCAGCAAGAGTAATAATGGCAATAGTATAATGGCTGATGGAAAAATTAGGATATTTCCTTATGATGTGTGCACACTACCCAAGAAATAGTATAGCATTATTTGAAAATGAATCTGGATTAGTTGTAAATGTATACTACAAACTCCAGGGCAGCAACTAAAACAAACAAAAGGCATAGAGCTGACATGCTAACAAAGGAGAGAAAATAGAATCATATAAAACACACAAGTAAAGTCACAATAGATAGCAGAATCAAAGACAAAAATAGAAACAAAGCGTGAGGGTAACAAATAGAAAATAGTAAACACATGGTAGGTATTAATACAAGATATCAATAATCACTTTTCATATCTATTATCTATAGACATCAGAGATTGTCAGATTAGATCAAAACAAAAATAAGTAGGTTGTTGGTGTTGGCTTTTACCTGAAAACCATGTTACCATGTCTTAAAAATAACTGTGTTTTAGCCAGGTGTGGTAGCACACACCTTTAACCCCAGTGCTTGGGAGGCAGAGGCAGGTGGATCTCTGTGAGTTCGAGGCCAACCTGGTCTATAGTGAGTTCCAGGACAGCTGGGGCTACACGGAAACCCTGTCTCAAAAAGACCAAAAAAACCAAAACAAAACAAAAAAACAACAAAAAAACTATGTTTTAAGTATTTCTGATTCTTCATCACTTAAAAAAAGTTTATATTTCAATATTACAATGTCACTAAAGAGCTTACTTCTTAAATATTTGCCCATTAATTCATAAAAGATAGGCAGTAATGATGTTTAACATTTACTAAAAAAAAAAAAAACACCCTGATAAATCTAAAGTCAATTTAGTGAAAAATTACTGCCCCCAAATCTATTTATTATCCTAACTGCAGATCACTTTTCAATGAAAGCATTTAGAGGTTTAAAGACAATGTTGACTTTATCGCATTAGATTAACAGTTGCTCTGGCCAAGATCCCCAAGAATCACAGGACAATTTCAGTGCTAGTTTTGTAAGGGACTCATTTCTTCCAGATCACTGGTCAAACAATACCAAAATACTGGTCAAATCTCAAATCAGGTAATGTTATACCACAGAGACTTCAGCTCGCAGTGCACACTGGACTTTAAGGCTACATAGAAAAGAAAATGCAGACAATATGCCTGTACAGAAATATAACTGAATTCTTTAATGAATAACTTTTTTATAACAATGTATATGTTGAAGTTGTTCCTGTTCTTGACTCAGTCACTGAAGGAACCTGAATTAAATCATGTATAAAAATATTTTTAAAAACTTACATGAGGGGCTGGAGAGATGGCTTAGCAGTTAAGAGCACTAGCTGCTCTTGCAAAGGACCTGGGTTCAGTTCCCAACATCCACATGGTAGCTAACAGCCATCTGTAACTCCAACTCCAGTTCTAAAGGATCCAACACACTTTTCTGGCCACATGGGTACTGTACAACACAGGTGCACTTACCTTTATGCAGGCAAAATACTCACATACATAAATATAAATAAAATATTTAAAAAAATACTTACTTGAGGCAGAAACAGCAGATAGCAGTGCCAAGAATAAATCCACCCGCTTTGGCTGAGCGTTGCTGACCAAAGCCAGTTTATCATCAGCATAGCAGGCTGCCATCAGCCCAGCCCAGACAGCAGGGTCACCTGAACATGGAATATACAATTGGGAGACTTACTCATATCAAGACAGTGACAAAAACCTACCACAAACAAGAGTTTATAAATCTCCCCCTAATAAAAGTTAATTATGGCCAGGCCTGGTAGCGCACGCCTTTAATCCCAGCACTCGGGAGGCAGAGGTAGGCAGACCTTTGTGAGTTCAAGGCCAGCCTGGTCTACATAGTGAGTTCCAGGCCAGCTGGGGCTACAGGGAGACCCTGTCTCAAAAAGATTAAAAAAAAAAAAAAAGTTAACTATATCTAAAGAAATAATCTATTTCCTTAAAGAAAAACTAAATTGTATTCTGAAAACACACTGTTACATTCAGCCTTCAGGGTTTGCTATTTTTCTGAATAGATTATATTAAGATTATTATTAAGGTCTTCTTCCATGTTTGGCAGGTTCAGTTGCCTACAGTGGTATCCTATCATGGAAGGCAACTTCATTCACTTTTCACTAGACATGGAACGCAAGTAAAAGCAACACTCATCTTTATTTTTATTAACCAAGTTCCTGTTTTAAAAGCTTAGCTGTAGGATGAACAAATTAACACAGTTTTACAGTTCTTAAGAAAAGTATGAGTCAAAGGAAAAGATTAACACTGAGTTTATGTTCTCACAGAAAGCACAAGACACTTCACAGTGCCAAGTAGGGTACTGCATCTATGACTGCTTTCCTTCACCCATTTGATCTTTGTTTCATACTCATAAGCTTCATACGGGGTAGGAGGCCTGACCACAATGGGTAGCAGAGGAAAAGGTAATGACAGACATAGATTAGGTGTATAAACTCTTCCTAAAAAAGCTAATTGTAAAAAGAGGCTGAAAGAGAACTTGGAACAGACAAGGTTTTTTTCTTTTATTCATTTAGTATTTTATTATAATAAATCTTATTTTGCAGTTTAGTTCAAATTAATATTTTAATTTTGCTACCATTAAAAAAGAGATTATTTTAAAATCTTACATAGGAGTGCTACTTAATAACATAGTCATTTAATTAACACTGGGTTTTTTTGCATTTGTCTGTGTGTATGTGTAATGTATATGTGTACATATGTTCACATGTGGGGATGCATGCATATGTGCACATGTATGTGGAGCCTGAAGCTCAAGCTGGAAGTCTTCCTCTGTGCTTCTCTATTATATTCATTGAGGCAGGGTCTCTCAATTTAACCCAGAGCTCACCAAAATGGTTAGCCTTGCTAGTTAGTTTGCTTGGGGTAGCCCCTGTTTTTCAAGTGCTAGAATTCTTAGGATCCAAACTCTAGCCTTCAGCTTATACAGCAGCTACTTTTTCCACTGAGCCATCTCTCTGGCTTTTTTGGAGGTTGAGGGGCTTTTGTTTGATTGTTTTGCTTTTTTACACATGCATGTGTGTCTATGCATGGGGAGGCCCTATGTTGATATTAGTAGTCTTCCTTGATCGCTCCTCATAGTCTTCTTTGAGGGTCTCTTGCTGAACCTGGAGCTCACCGTTTCAGCTAATCTGTCTACACAGCTTGCTCTGGGAATTCCTGTCTCTGCCTCCTGTGCACAAGGATTTCAAGTGGGTCACCATGCCCATGTGGCTTTTATGTGGGTTCTGGGGATCCAAACTCTGGTCCCCATACTTAAATGGCAGGCACTTCATTCACTGAGCCACCTCCCCGACCCCTCAGCCCTTTTCGGATTTTTTTTTTAGATTGACTACAATATCCAAAATGACTTTCCTATAAATGTCTGAAATATATACCTATTTACTTACAGATGATTAGTATTATTTCTAATGGCCTTAGAATCATTAAAAATATTGCACAAATCAAAACCTTTTATAAAATAAACACATATCCACATACTTTGAAATAATTTCGGTCCCAGATAATGATTCTCTCATTTTAAGTAACACAAGACATATCAAATTCCAGAATTAACAAATGGGAACCATCCCCTAGAATTCATGAGCAGATCTAATTATTGTATAATGGAAGGAACATAACTGAGCCTTAGACCATATGTCTAGCAATACCATTAATAGGGTGACAGCTTCTCCTTTGGGATTTATTATTCTATAAACTAAACAACTGAAAAGGATAATGACTAGGGTCCTGACATGTCTAAAAATGCTACGACTGCAACTGATACACACAATTTCTAAACATTCCTGACCTCTAAGGTTAAGTGAACAAACTCCTTCATGGATCATATAGTATTCTGCAATCTAGTTTGGGGGAGAAGGGGGATGGTGGACAGTAGATGGCAGCAATTTATTCTGTCACATTACAAGAGAACTACTGTTTCCATGAACTCCCACAGATAACCAGCAACTCAAAATCACTACAAAATAAAATGACAGGAAAATATACAAAGTAGAAGCCTAAAAGTTTTAAAGTATATGCTTCTAAAATTAAAAGTATTTCTTAGCATCACAGAAACATAAATAGGAGATATTGGATTTTCTTCCTTTCAATTCTAAATTCTTGGGATTATCTTTAACTACTGAAAAGATTCTTTCAAGTAACATCTGTACACTGCTCAGCAAAAGATGTTCAAGGGTTAAGTACACAGTCACTGCTCTTAATTACAGTTTCATTCATCTCACTGTCCTCTAAGAGCACATCTTAAGCACTCATCTTCACCACATAGTTCCTGTTTTACGCATCTTATAGATAGATGTCTCTGCCTCCTTGAGTAAGTATTTATCCAGATGATAAGGGTAAAATCAGTGTTCATTTACAGTACTAAAGTTTATGTTACTTACACAATCAAAGGCTAATAAATCTATCATTCTGGATATAAAATGGGAATTCTGCAGAGAATACCTCTAAAAATCAGAAACTCACCAACATAACATAGACAAATTCAGATGTTTAAGTATCTTTTTGTTCTGACTTTCCAAAATGAAAGATAAGCAATATGATATTGGCCTATTTCTTTACTTTATAAAATAATCTCTAAAATATTAGATATTATGCTATTTAGTTAGGATATTTACAATTTATTGTGAAGATAGCACTGAACTTGCTCTTTGAACAGTTTGTTTCCTAACAATGTCTACTCATAGAAAAGTATTCTGATCAAATCTTCTGGGAAAGTAAGCAGTTTGATACTAAATTTCATATTTAAGACAAAATCATATAAAAAATTGCTTTGTAGCCCTACACTGCCTGACTTCTAGCCCTCTTAGCACAGTTTTCCAGTAGTGAACATGAAAACACATAGAAGCAGAACTACGCAATCCCTCATTACTCTGAGTCAATAGCATGCATATGGTCCTACTGGCTACAATGAATACTAGCTAGCTGAGGTGAGGTCATGCCACTCTAACAACTACCTGAGATGATAGTTATCGTCCTTTGATGGAACTTGGAGTAACCACGGAAACACACCTCTGGGTGCATCTCTGAGGATGTTTCCAGAAAGGTTTAACTGAGAATGGAAAATCTACCCTGGACATGAGCAGCACTATGATATGGATTAGGGTCATGGAACAAACGAAATAGAAATGAGCCATGCACCAGCATTCCTCTTTCTCTACGTCCTGATTGCAAATGTAATATGACTAGCTGCCTCTCCTGCCACTATGCCTTCTCCTATGTGCTCTGAAATTAGTCAAAACAAACCCTCCTTGCTTAAGTTGCTTTTGCCAGATGCTTTGTCATACCAACATGAAAAGTAACTAAAATACCATACAAAAGATCCCAACATTTAGAATTTAACTATACATAAAAATAATTGATTACCAGGTGTGGTAGCACACACCTTTAATCCCTGCACTTGGGAGGCAGAGGCAGGCAGATCTCTGTGAGTTCAAGGCCAGCCGGGTCTACACAGTGAGTTCCAGGACAGCTGGGGCTACAGGGAGACCCTGTCTCAAAAAGACAAAAAAAAAAAAAATTGATTAAATAATTTAGTAGGTATAGGTAAATCCCACCTAACCAAACTGATGGAAAATGTAAAATTTGAAATTCAGGGGTTAGAGCAATGGCTCAGTGGTTAAGAGCAATGGCTGCTCTTGCAGAGGACCCAGGTTTGGTTCCTACCACTCACATGGCAGCTAACAACTGTCTATAACTCCAGTTCCAGAGGATCTGACACCTTCTTCTGACCTCTGCCAGCATGGCTCAACACAGGTGCACTTACATACATGCAGGCAATACACTCATACACATAAGATAAAAATAATAGGGGGCTGGAGAGATGACTTGCTGTTCTTGCAGAGGACTTCAGTTCGATTTCCAGCACCCACATGGCGGCTAACAACCATCCAAAACTCCAGTTCCAGGGGATCTGACACCTTCTTCTGGTCTTTGTGGGGCATTGCATGCACGTGGTACACTTACATACACGCACATAAAATAAAAAAAATTTATTAATATATATATGGTCTCTTTTTTTTGAGACAGGGTCTCCCTGTAGCCTCAGCTGTCCTGGAACTCACTATGTAGACCAGGCTGGCCTTGAACTCACAGAGATCCACCTGCCTCTGCCTCCCAAGTGCTGGGATTAAAGGCGTGCGCTACCACGCCCAGTAATAAAACATTTTTAAGAAAGAAAATACATAATTCAGGTTTTCGGTAACAGATAATAAAGTATCCATAAGAAGACATTCCCTTCAGACTGTTTCAATAACTATCTCTTAATTATCAATAGCTAAATTCAGATAATCAAATAATATGAAAAACTTTAAAACACATTCTTAAAATTCCCTTGTATCTTATTTCATTGAAACATACTTTGTTCTTGTAACACACAAATACAAGATTGAAAACATCTACATTAATGAAGTGGAATCCAGCATGCTCACCTGGAGAAAGGAAAGCGGCCTTCTGAATGGTCTTTAGTGCAGGATTTTTTCCGTCTTCTGCAGCACTGCCTCCCACTGCCAGCTGGTTTACTGCAGTGTACAAAAGCGCCTTCTACAGAAGAGGGAAAACGTGTGCTAACCAGTTCTCTTCATAGTTCCCTGCTTCTCAAACTGACTGAAGGGACTATATTTGATACGACATGAGCCCTAAAGCTATGAGGAAAAATTATTTATTCCACCAATATTACCTAACAAGTTACATGTTTCTTTTATTGTAGAGTAACTAACCTTTCCATGATTTGAATCCAGAATATCAGCCACATAGCCAGCTGTAGCACCTCCCTATAACAAAACACACTATTTAGACAAATGCCAAAACTTCCAAGAAATAGTGAGTGATAAAATCTTTCCATTAAATCATTTGATAAGTTCAGTTTTTAACAAATTTGCAACTTACTCAACTTGACTCAAATCAGTCAAGGGCCCAGAGTGGAGTGAGGGAAATTGATGGCAGGCCAAGCCTAGCCTGGGAACTGTTGGCAACTGATTACAGCTGGGTTAGGGAGAGGAGATCTTCCTTAAGATCTCTAGATAGGCTGACTAGATTCCAGTTGATGAACTTGCACGAAAGGACATCTGGGTACAAATTCTTGACCAGATAGGATTTGACATGTATGATGGAATGCATGAGGTCCAGTGGGGAGAGGGTCTAAATTTGATTAAGAACTTCTGTGTGAAATGCATAAAAGCTCAATAAAAATATTTTTAAAAACTTATAAACTCTGAATACCAGCTTATTATTATAATTTTAAGAGCTCAGTTTAACATTTTTGTGGAAGGAAATTTTTCTAATTTGATAATTTCAATTCTATTATTAAAATACAAAAAGTTCAAAAGTAAGATAATTTTAAGGCAGCACCAATCAAATGTACATTATCTAGCAATATAAAAATATTGGGGAGCTGGAGAGATGGCTCAGTGGTTAAAAGCATTGGCTGCTCTTGCAGAGGACCTGGGTTTGATTCCCAGAACCCACATGGCGACTAACAACCATCCATAACTCCAGTTCCAGGGAACCTGATGCCCACTCTTCTGACATCTGAGGGCACCGCATGACATTAGTTCACTTACATACATTCAGGCAATACACTCATACACATAAAAATAAAAATATTTTTTTTAAAAAAATAAAAAATATTGGAAGAAAGGCAGAAAAGGAAAGTAAAAGATCACAAATATAAACTAATATAGTTTTATTCTTTGAAAAACAGAATTTTTAAAACCTCCATAGTTTCTAAGTAAAACTAGTAATTAAATTTCAGCATACTATGAAGCTTATTACTGCTTGAATAAATCAATGCTAAAAATCAAAACATGTAATATTAAATTTTTCATAAAGTCAATTTGAAATCTAAAATTTTTAAATTTCAATTATTGTATATTTTACCTAGAAAAAAAAGTGAATTATAAGAATGATTTTACAGGCACAATGATTCATGCCTATAACCCTACTACTCAAAATGCTGGGGGAAGAACTGCCATAAGTTCAAGACCAGTCTGTACTTCATAAATGAATTCCAGGTCAGCTTGGGATAAAGGGTAAGACTGTCTCAAAAAAAGGAGGCAGGGTCAGGGGATACTGGAGAGATGGCTCAACAGTTAAGAACACTGGTTGCTTTTGCAGAGGACCAAGGTTCGGATCACAGCACAAACATAATGGCAAACAACTGTCCATAACTCCAGTCCCAGGGGATCTGACGCCCTCTTCTGGCCTCCATGTGGTACACTTAAAAGCATACTCATACATAAAATAAAAATAATAAACTCTTTTTATGAATGATTTTCATTTTTTAATCACAAGTACGTTGCATCTTTCATTTCATATCAAACATGTATCACAAATGTCTGAACACTATACATCAAATAAAGAATGCTGAAAACAAAGCTTCAAAGCTATTCCAATGAAAGCAAATGGTAGATTAAAAAGAGGCAACACAGCAGTGGAGAAAGATTCAGATGTTAGCATGGGAATGAATCCCATTACCACCAGCAACTGTGATTTTGCACAAGCTACTTAACCTCAACATCTGAAGATTCCCTCTCTATAAAGTGAACAATAATTATAGCAATGTCATACTGTTGAGATTTATTAAAATAAATACAAATGCGTAGCACAGTAGCTCACATGAGTACTTCATTCACTGCCTAATAATGATGGCTTTACAGGTACTTTGAGCCAACCCAGCCACCGAAAATAACTAAAAACTTAGGATAAAATCCTACTACTCAAACAGTGGCTTTGTGTCAGTAGATGTGCACACCCTGAGGGTTGTTAGAAATGCAGAAACTTGGGGCTGGAGATATGGCTCAGCAGTTAAAAGCATCTCTTGCAGAGGTTCAGCTCTCAGCACCCACATGGTGGCTAACAACTGTCCGTAACTCCAGCTCCAGGGGATCCGACACCCTCTTCTGACCTCCATAGGCACTGCACAACACAGGTGCACTTACAGACATGCAGGCAATACATTCATACACATAAAATAAAAATAATAAAATTTGGGGGCTGGAGAGATAGGTCAGTGATTAAGAACAATGACTGTTCTTGCAGAAGACCCGGGTTCGAATCCCAGCACCCACATGGCAGCTAACAATTGTCTCTAACTCCAGTTCCAGGGGATCTGACAGCTTCTTCTGTCCTCCGCAGGCATTGCACGGCATGGGTGCACTTACCTACATGCAGGCAATACACTCATACACATAAAATAAAAATAATAAATAAAAAATATATATAAATAAAATTAAGTTAAAAAATTAAAATGAAGAAACTTGCCTCAGTCCTATTTAATTGTAATTTGCATTTAAACAATATTATTAGGTGATTTCAACAACACATTAACATTTGGGAAGCACTGGGATAAAATATTTTTAAAAATGGATCCCTAAAATAATTGAATAACAAAGATTTATCAGTCCAAAACTGAAAGTGAAAAAGGCAAAATCCAGAGACACAAATAAGCAGAGAGACCATTTCTGCCATTTGTAAATCCCAACAATAAGACTCATAGGCTAGTGAGACAGAAATTAAAGCTCAAGGCTTACACAAGAGAGGGTGTAGAGGAAACCCACATCACAATACTCTGAGCCTTGGAGGGACTGCACTCTCAGGTTCAGGATGAATCAGGATTGAGGTTGTTCTCAAATGACTTGTAACTCAGGCCCAGAGGATTATGGTTAATACAGAAACATCAAGTTCTAAATTAGTGGAAATGCCAAGCATCTAATAGTCCAAATTCTTTCTACATAAAGGTATTTTAATCCAAGGACTCAAATTATGCCTGCAAACAATTTTCAAGTATATATTCAGGTAAATGAAGAAATAAAGTAATATTGAGTGATATTGAGTGAAAAGCAGCAAGAATAACAAACAACATGTCCACAAGACTGAATACTAGAATTACGACTGCATATGATGTTTCCAACTAATTAAATGAACAAGGAAAGGAAACATGAACCACAGAAGTTACAAAGAAATACAGACACTGAAAATATCTGGTTGTTACAACTAAAGTAAATCAATGACTTCATGCTTATACTGACATTTTAGACATTAGCAGTGTTTGTGTTCTTACTATCCTTTCAAAAGCTTTTAAATAAAATTATCTTTTGGAATTTAAAAAACACAATCACTATTGTTTATTGTATTATGCATGTTACTTATTCATACAGGCATCAGCACAATCTGTATGTGTTCAGAAAGGTCCTACTACTTTGCAGTGTCCACAATACCCAGAACAACTCACTAAGTACATGGGAGGATACTTGGTCTTGTGCTCGAGTAAATAGAAATTGGATGAAATGATGACATTCTCTTTACTGTATTTATTATATACCCTTACTTATCAGGAAGATTTTGGAACATGACTCACCTTTGCATTCCGCTGAGTATGCTGAGCAACAACCCGAGACAACAAAGACCAAAGGGCAGGGTCAGCCGGGTTACTAGAGAGAGCGTCAAAGATGGAGGCTCAGAGGTGCGAGTCATTTGCCACAAACAGTACGGCAAACATTCTAAGTTTAAAACCTTTTAGACACCTATATAAGTTCATATTAATTACCAGATTATGAAAATGTCTTATATTTTAGAAAACATAGGAAAACATTTATGAAAATGAAGAGAAAAATCAAACTGTCACAGAAATAAGAAACAAGTACAAGAAGTTAAGGAAATGTAGCTCAAAGAAAATACAACTGAATGTGAAGCCTCAGGATAAACTACATGAGACAGTGGAAGGGCGCACTCTAGTAGAAATAATTCATAGAGAAAATTTTACACTAAACTTTATTATTCTTATTTTTTTAATTGGACCAGTGAGATGGCTCTGCATTTTAAAGCACTTAACCCTGACCCGAGTCTTTTCTGGGACCCACACGGTGGAAGGAGAAAACCTACTCCCACAAATCATTCTCTGACTTCCACATGCGTGCTACGGTACCTGCGCACCTTACCCACCCACACATAAATAAATAAAATTTTAAGTGTACCTAATCAGCAAAGATTATTAGTAAGAATGAATAATGAAAGAAAAATAAAGACACAACATACTGAAATAAATCACTGCTGCTAAGTGATATCTATTTTTCAACTTTTGAAGGCATTAATGACCATTTAAGTGACTAAAAATGCCTAAAACCATTAACCTGTTCTGTGTCAGTCTGTATGAGGTAACAGACTGACAATATTACAAACTTGGGAATTAAGAGTTTTTATATCAAAATGCATGGGGGCATATTCCTAAATTGAATTTCTTAAAAATCCTTATAGGTAAAATAACAGGCAGTCAGTTGTTTGATCCTAAGTAGGATTTTGTAAAACCAAAGTCTGACTTCTAAATACATATGCTTATTTCATTCTATAGTCTTAATAAAGCCCAAAGTTAAACACAATCACATCAAATACAATCAGGCCCCAAGTTCAGGGCTCACCTGTGGACAGCTTTAGATGCCTGTCTTTGCACTGCCACACTGCGGCCTTGGAGTGCATAAATGGCTGAAGTAAGAAGGTATCTCTGATAATCATTTCTGTGTTTAATGTGCTTCAGCAACTCATTAAGTGCTGCTTGTGACAGTGTAGCATCCTGCATGGCCAACCCTAGAGCGCACAGGGTTTGAAGGCTTTCAATGGTTGGTTCCTTTAAGATAGAGCTATAAATACATTTTTAATAATCTGTTAGCCATTAGTACAGTAGTCTTTATAACTATTAAAAGATGTTTAATACTTAATACAAAAAAAATTATTTACTTAAAGATTCATTAAAATAAGTCAGTTTTGATTAATATAAAAATAAGAACCTGGTTTTAAAATTAGAAACAGAGAGCATAACACCAATGGCTTGGTGGGGTGATATCAGGAAAGCTGCCCCAGTGATCTCCACAGCACAGAATCTGACCTTGCAAACTTGCAGTTTAAGTGAAAAGGAGACCTAGGACCCACTTAGTGAGCTGGCATTGGAGAAACATTTCTCTGTACTTTCCAGCAAATTCCTACAGTGCCATAACTGGGAGCCATTTTAAGAAGGGGCCTATTGTCTGACCTTACTGCTTAGAAACCTCTGCGTTTTTGCATCTCCATGATCTAAGGGCCTCGTCTTGGCGCTAGCACAGTAAACAGCCAATGACAATGTAGGCCCAGGAAAGTGACTGTGAATTTAACAGGAATGTCTGAAGGACAATTATGGAGGCATTTTTTCAATTGTCACAGTGACTGAGGAGTGCTATCACCCATTAACAGGTGATGGGTGGGGATATGCACTTCCACAGCAGGGCAGGGCACTTCTGTGCTATGTAGATTTGTACCACTCAAAATACCAATAAAATTCTCACTGGGAAGGACTGTCCAACAGCCTATATTAGTCAACTACTGTTCCTGAAGGAATTGTAGTCAACTTTCTAAAACAAACAAAAAAAGCTTCAGGAGCTCAACAAATGCTATATAAATAACTCCAAATACCACAGGCTTTTATTTTAACTTGTTCCAGAAACACAGAAATAGTTACAAGTTCAACTTGCTTTTAAATGAACTTTTTAATCAAGTTAACTTGAAGAGAAAGGAGGGGAACAAGAAAATTTTTGGAAGATCTGAGCAACCAAAAACCAGGCCAGCTTACAATTCTATTAAAAGTTTATGGTCCATGTGGTCATTTAAAAGAAAAAGTAATATACAAAAAGTGGAACATGGTTTTCAAATATTGGATGGATACAGGCTAAGAATTAAGTATTGATATTTAGGTCCACATATGACTGTCAATTTAAAAGAAGGTAGGTTCAATTCCTTTGGTTTACCTAAAAGTTCCTAAAACACTAAGAACTTCATTTCGCACTGCTCCAAATTTTATCTCAAATGTTTAAGTATCTGACCACCTTAAGTCCACTATACCTACCATTTGAAAAGCAGTGACTTGGCTACATCCATTTTCCCTTGTTTGTATTCTGTTATTGCCAGAGCCGTCAAGATATGGGCTTTGTCTTGCTCTGATTCAACAACAGTCAAGGCTCTCTCATAAGCTATTACATAAAACAAAAGAAACAAGCAAGCAAAATATAAAAAGCAATTTTAATTTATAGTATATGGCATCTCCCCTTTCCTAATTCAATTTCTCAAAAAGAACTAACTAAAAGTGTATCTTTATTGTTCCCTTGCTTTCAAGCAGATATTAAGCAGTGCAGAATAGTAATCATCTATTTTTAAACACTAATGTATCTATGATAAATGGCCTGGGTCTTAGTTTCTTCCCATGTACAACAGACTCTTAGTTCAAAAACTGCTACAAGACCTATTCATCACCATACCACACTAATAATAAACTGGCACATATACTGTGCCCATTATGGTTCCTGACTCCCAGTCAGATATTAGTTAATAAATACTGCAACCCCACCCCAATACTACATCTTTCTTTAAAAAAGTGCACTGTAGCTTCAAGCAATATTCTTACCTTTGTTGCTCTCTTTATACAACCCCTTCATAAACAGAGCCAGTGCAAAACCTACAATGTCCTCTAGCTCCTCAAGGGGTGTTGACTTAAAGGCCTGGACAGCTTTGTCATATTCACCAATGGAACTAAGAAGCAAAACACAACTTACTTTCAAGATGAAAATGATTTCAGTTTTATCAAAATATACAGACATAGTCACTAAACTTCATTTAATGACTTACTTTACCTATACTTCCTGTTTTAGAGTAGTGACTTAGTAAATACAAGCTATTAGGCTCAAGTTGTTGAAAAGGCTTAAGATGAAAGATATGTCACAAACAGGATGTATTAGAGGGTTCTGACTTCATTTTTTTCTTTTAAATTATAAGTGAAAACACTCAAACTCCCCTTTTAAACAAACTTCAATTAAACGCCAAGTTATAAGAATAATTACAGGTTGACTTTTATAGAACATTCTAATTTTTTAAGCTTAAATGTGTTGGCCTACATACTATTCTAAGGATATGGTTCTAGAATCTTTAACAAGTGTAATAAGCCATAAAATAGCCAGCCAGAATAAAAACCTAGCCTTTACATAAGCTATTTATTTTTATTTTTATTTTATGTGTATGCATGTATTGCCTGCATGTAGGTAAGTACACCTGTGTCGTGCAATGCCTGCGGAGGTCAGAAGAGGCCATCAGATCCCCTGGGACTGGAGTTACAGACATTTGTTAGCTACCATGTGGGTGCTGGGATTCGAACCCAGGTCTTCTGCAAGAACAACCAGTGTTCTTAATCACTGAGCTATTTTGGCCAGCCCCATAAGCTATTTACTTTTATATATTTTTTGGAAGGTATATAGATGCAATAAATTCCACAGACAAAACTACATATTAGCTCTTTCTGTGCTTCCAGCAGCCAGTGCTCTTAACTGCTGAGCCATCTCTCCAGCCACTTTTCTTTATTTATAAGTCAGAAGATAGCTCCTAGATGAGGATAATCATTCCCAATTTTAAAAACTATAGCAAATCAGAATAAGTCCAATTCTCCATCTATTAATTAGGCTTCTACTAAAGACAACAACCATCTCACCTCTAAATGATCAAGTCCATAACCATAGGTTCTAACCGCACTCCTCCCAAGGCACACAAGGGTTAGGTATTTTAACAGGTATAGGAAATCTGAACTTACTCTGACACTGGAATAACATATCCTTCATGTCACAATGCTCTGGACACCAGTGTGCAGCTCCCTAGTCCCACATCTTTCCCAGACAAATCCAGATTCACAGAATTAATGAGAAAAAAAAATACACTTACCATAACAATCTGCCATAATTTCTTACTGTAACATTGTAAGAATCTCGGTCTTCTGCAGTCTGTAACAATACAACTGCCCTTTAAAAAAAGACGAAGTATTTTAAATTACTTATGTGCAAAGAATTGTTTTACTTACTCCCCCTTAGACAAATCCATAGATTTCTGTTCTTTTCATTCAATTCTGCTAATTCTTTAGTAAGCTAGTTATAACAGCTTACTCGTATTTCATTGATACCACAAAAGCACTAAGATATATTAAAATTTTAGTTTGTCAGGAAAATAACTTTAATAATCTTGTTCTTTTTTAATAAGTGAAATCATTACCAAATTTGAGCTCTAAATATTCTAAAATTTTTAATCCAAACACAGATTGTGACTATGTCATGGTATTATAGTTTGACATACTAGAGTTTACAGAAGACATTATTTTTATTATTATTATTATTTTATGTGTATGAGTGTATTGCCTGCATGTAGGTTAAGTGCACCCATGCAATGCCCGCAGAGGTAAGTGAAATCATTACCAAATTTGAGCTCTAAATATTCTAAAATTTTTAATCCAAACACAGATTGTGACTATGTCATGGTATTATAGTTTGACATACTAGAGTTTACAGAAGACATTATTTTTATTATTATTATTATTTTATGTGTATGAGTGTATTGCCTGCATGTAGGTTAAGTGCACCCATGCAATGCCCGCAGAGGACAGAAGAAGCTGTCGGATCCCCTGGAACTGGAGTTATGGACAATTCTTAGCTGCCATGTAGGTTCTGGGATTCGAACCCCGGTCTTCTGAAAGAACAACCAATGTTCTTAACTTCTGAGCCATCTCTTCAGCCCCTACAGAAGACATTCTTTAAAACATTTATGAGGGTGAAGGGGTCGGGGGGATTGGAGAGATGGGTTAGCGGTTAAGAGCATAACTGCTCTTACGAAATACCTGGGTTTGGTTCCCAGTACCCACATGGCAGCTAACAACTCCAGTTAGTAACTCCAGTTCCAGGGATCCAACACCTTCTTCTGACCTCTGTGGGCATTGCATGACACGGGTGCCCTTACACACATGCAGGCAATACACTCATACATATAAAATAAAAATAATAAAATATTTTTTAAAAGCAGGCTTAGAATACATATAG